CAACATCTCATTGCAAGGATGAATAAAAATGGAAATTAGAAACTCTCATGTTTCTCATCTTATTGTAGGGGATAAGTAAAGATATTGTAGACAGTGCCTGACATCAGGGTAGGTAAGAGATGTTTTTATTTCCTTTTTTTAAATCTTTCATGTTTGCTAACACACCTAAACTCATAAAGAAGTGACTATAAACTGTAGTCTATCAATCAAATAGTTAATGATCATAAAATTCTTCTCTGTGTCTCTCCTCAGAAGTTAACGGAATGTTTTAAGCCTCTGTATGATTGTTTTAGAATCTCATAGCAGAGCTGCAGTCAAATAGGTTACCACTGTGGGGCTACAGCTGCAATGCTTTTCAAACTGTTTTCCAAATCATGTACAGCACTGAATTCCCCATATGCATATGGCTTCTCATGTGCAAGATTTTGAATGAAAACACACAACTTTATTGACACAACTCCACATGTATCTAGAAAGCAGGCGGTCTGCTTCTCTGCGGCTCTGCAATGGGGAGAGTGATGGGGAAAGCCCATCCCCCAGAAATAATACCCATTTTTCCACGGTGTTTAGCAAGGTTGAACTATTAAGTCTCTTCGGCACTTCAGAGTTTCAGCAGGTACCTCTGTGATTAAAAGCCCTTTGGGACAAAAGAGAAGCAGCATATTACCAGGGGACAGCAGCCTGGTGACCAGGGGAAGCAGGGACGGAGAGGCTGTAGCTTTGCAGCTGGTGTCTGAGAGTGGTCTGACTCCTCAGCTCTCCTCCTTAACATCCCTCAGCTATTGGTTTCCCAATAGTATCTCGGAAAAGTCGCAGTTTTCCCTGATGTGTTTCCTCTCTGTTTGCAGCTGTAACTGCGTGGCCCTACAGCACTGGCACCCCTCAGCTATTGGTTTCCCAATAGTATCTCAGAAAAGTCTCAGTTTTCCCTGATGTGTTTCCTCTCTGCAGCTGTAACTGCGTGGCTCTACAGCACTGGCACCAGGGCTGTCTTTGCCTCATCTTTTATAACGCATACAGGAGGGGTTTGGCCTGTTCCCTCTGGCCCCTGGAAAAACAGGAGGGGAGGTTGGAAACTTTGATGATCTGTGTTTTGGTGCTTTGTCTTACTGTGAGTGCAGCAATAGGGAGGGAGAGCAGGGTTTGTGAGGGGATCTGAGGAGGGACATTGAGAAACAAAGGAAAAGTTGAGAAGAGACAAATCAGTTGGGAAAGTAAAAGAAGAAAAGGAGAGTTAGACATGACAAAACCAGAAAAAAATAATTTGGGCTTGGGAAGGAACCCAAGTGTAAAATCATGTTTGGGGCAGGGCCACATCCAGTTGAGGTTTGAGTATCTCCAAGGGTATTCAAACTAGGCTTTCACATCCCCTTCTGGGCAACCTGTCCCACTGCTTCACCCCGCCTTGCTGTGAGGAGGGTTTTTCGCTATGTTTGATGAGAATTTCCCTTCTCACAACTTGTGGCTGCTGTCCTTTGTGCTTCGGCTGTGCCCCTCTGAGGGGACTCTGGGCACAGCCCTCCCCACGCAGCCTCACAGGCCCCGGCGCAGGGAAATGTCCTCCCTCGAGCAGGCAGCCCCCTCGCTGGCCCCCACTCTGTGTGCGGCCTCCATGTTGTCACCTGTGTTGCAGGCCCTGGGCCAGTCCACATGTCCCCATTTGGTCACACAGGTGCTGAGGGAAACTGGGATGAGCCTCATGGGGGTCAGGGTGGACAACGGTTGCTGTCCCCTCGTCTACAGGGAATAATTGCTTCCCTTGAGCACATAAGCACCTCCTTGTTTTTATATTTTTTGCCTTCTGTTTGTGTAATGGAGTTGTAAATGTAAAGACTGATAAGATAAGATTATGAGTCATATCAGGACCTAGCAGCCAACTTTCTTCAGCTGTTTGTGTTAAACCTTTTTTCATTTTTTTTTAATGAAATTTACTCTGTGCAAATAAACTGAAGGTATTTTGTACACACTAAGTACAAATAAAATACTGTGCTCCTGAAGTTGAGGCCCTCCTTGTGGCTTTTGCTCTAAATTTTAACCTAAATTCTTAAACCATGAGATAAAAGGAGTACTATGAGACATTAGGCACAACACCAGCCATGGCCTCTGGTGGGAACCAGATGCATGATGTAAATTTCCTAAGGGCAGAAGTATGGGGTGAGCACTAACTGGGTGAGATCATTGCTTTGGTATCCAAACTCTTCGTACTTAATTAGGAGCAAGTAGGGATGCCAAAAGTCAGGTGAGAAGATTCTGTCTAAAGACCACTGGATGGAGGAGAAATGAAGCTGTGGAGTCAGAAGGGAGATTTGAGATGCAAGGCCACCTCTATCTAGATAACAGTATCAGCAATCGCATGTTATGCTTTAATTGCCTAGGAAATGGCATAAGAAACACCAAAATTGTGTATGGATGTAATAGATTTGGGATCAATGAGGAAAAGGCATTAAGGGCGAGTTGTTTATTTGAGAGGAGTTTGGGCAGAGGAAAGGAGATGCATGGGTTGTGAAAAGGCGGGTTCAAGAAAAGGGAAAAAATAGGGAATAAAGTATAAAAAGAAGAAAGAGGGCAAGAAATGGGAGGATCTTGTGACAGGAGGAGTGTGGCCACCTCTAGGCAGAGGTGAGACTGTCCTGTGGGTTCAAGATCCCCATGATGCTGGGGAAAACCCCTGTGGTCATCCCACCAGACTCTCCATCAAGTCTATGTCTGAAAGACAGTGCAGGAGAGGGGAGTAAGAAGGGACAGATTTGTAAGGAAGGATAGACTTGTATCTTAGTACTCAGTGCAGGAGGCAAGGCAAGCGGAATTGCAATTTACTAGTACTTACTAGTGATTTTTCAGTTTGCTTTACAGTAATTTAACCAATATATTAACATAACTACTGTATCAGTACTAATGGTAAGCAATAGGATTGTAACTCAATATTACTTGATATAACTGGGAAGTAAAATTTCTAATAATAGCAGTGTTTTTATTAGCAAATTAAAGTATTAGTTTTTTTTTTTTTAGAAAGAGGCGCTTCCTAATCAATTAACATCATAATCATTTGCATATCAAGCATCCAAACAGATGGAGGCAAGGTGAACATAGGGATTAGCAAGACAGGGGATAAATTGATTTCTTTTTTGAGAAGGCTTTGTTGGCATTTTTTGAAATTGTTTGCCTACTGCTTTTGATACTCGTGATACTAATCCGTGGATAAGAAGATACAGTTATTGTCTTGACAATCTCAGGAAGTTCTCTTTCTCAAGCAGCTGGAGGCTTTGGTATCGGCACTAGGATGAAATGGGAGGAATGTGTGTTCATAACCTAATGCCCAATTTTCATATCTTCTTTAAAGGCAGTTGCTTGATAGAGACTGGATGGTGTGAACTCCTGCTTAAAAATAATAAATAAATAAATAAATCCCAGGTTGTCATTGGACAGTCAGTTCCAAAAAAAAAAAAGTGCTGATGGGGAAGATTGAGAATTGCTTATTGTCAACCTGATGCTTCTTAGACATAACAATTTAAAAATAGTTATGTGATTAATGTTTAACTACTCCTATCTTTATGGAAAAGAAAAAGCTATCAAGCCAACTCCTATCTTTATGGAAAAGAAAAAGCTATCTGTCATTCTTCTGTCATACTTCTGTCATTTCAGGTTATCATTCTAGTTATCTCTATTCTGTAGCACTGCATAATGATGACAGAAATTCCTTAAAACAGTTCAGAAGTAGCTGCGTACTGAGAGCATTGACCTTTGTGTATATTTATGGCATTTCACAATGATCCATAAAGCAGTTTTAAAAACAAACAAACAAAAAAAACCCCAAAAAAACCCCACCAAAAACCAAACCCAAAAAACAGTGTACGTCAGGGCATGGGTTCTTGTATTGCCTCTTCCCCTGTCTCTTGGCCAATGGCAGTGGTTCTGAGGAGAAGTCTCTCCAACATGTGACACCATACACGCTGCAAGGCTGCTCATGTGTACCCCAGCCATACCATATGAGCCTTCCCTATATTCTAGCTATTTATATAGAAAAATTAATTTATCTGAATAATAATCTGTTCTAGAGTTCAACTTTTTTACATTTCTAGGAAGAAATAATAGGAATGCACCTGTTGCGAGAGGTGGTGGCTGTATGGGAAGAATAGAAGGTATGTAATTATGAACTGATTATGACCGTGTCTGAGCTCTATCTTAAAAGAAGCTATTTAAGGTCAGGTTACTCTATAACCACCCGGAACTGGTAGCAGCTCCTGGGTACAACACTTGACCAGGACATGGCCTGCAGCCATCACATTCATTTCACACAGGTCACTAAACAGTGTTGGAAAGTAGCAGCCTTCAGTAGCAGCTCCAACAGTGCACTCGCAGTGATGACAGCCTTTCTCTGGGGGTTTCTCCCAAGCCATGCAAGACAGGTTGAAGATCGCGTGTGTTTTAGCTGCATGTTCAGGAGTCATAAGAATTGAATACAGTTTGGCATGGGAAAATAACAGGGTATAGCTATTGCTTATGAAGCAGCATTAATGCATTCTGGAGAGCACAGATTGAGTAGAACATATGGTCCTATTTCAAGTTGCTTTTATGCTCTGTTTCAAATTAAATACTCCAGATGTGTGACAAACTGGCAAGACACTGGAACGGTGTTGCCCAGGGAAGTTGTGGATGCCCCATCCCTGGAAGTGTTCAAGGCCAGGCTGGATGGGGCTCTGAGCACTGGTCTAGTAGAAGGTGTTCCTGCCCATGGCAGGGGGTGGGGTGGAACTTGGATGATTTTTAAGGTTCCTTCCCAGTCTAACCATTCTATGAAAGTGATGGCAGCAAATATATGGTAAAAGAAACCCATTTCCATGTACACTCAATGTTGCCCACATGGCCTCACCAATACTAGCCTTGAGTTCAGAACGCAGTCATCTAGAAAGCCTGATGTTACTGTGTTGGCCAACCAGTAAATGCTAATGTAGTGCTTTGGTATCATTTACCCAGCTCCTGTGAGTATGCCATAATGAAATGAATGCCTGGGTTAGGCCCATCTCCCTCTGCCCCCAAGTTGGGCTTATTAAACTAGAGTACAGCAGATAAGCACTTTCTGGAGGTAACCGAGAGTTACCTACACTTGATTCTCCTCATTTCACAACCCACACTCCTACCCCTAAAAATACACATGCTTCACCCACAGAACCATTACCTCACAGCCTTTTATTTCCTCTTCTTTTGGGCTGAATCTTCTAACCTACTTCAAAACACAGCGTGCTGGGGAATTTTTTTTTTTTTTTTTTATCTCCGATTATAGCACCAGGAAGGTGTGCTGGGGCCGCATCGGGCACGATGGAATTTGCCATGGGGAAACCCGCTGATGACAATGGAACCCGCCCTCCTGTGAATTCCCGCGGCTCCCGCCACCCCTTTATAAGCAGGTGGAGGTGCGGCAGGGCTGGCAGGACCAGCAGGCAGCAGGACCAGCAGGCAGCAGCACAGCACTCCCGAGAGAGCACAGCTGCTGTGAAGGGGAAGGAGTGGAAATGGCTGGCATTGGCAGCAAGAGCTTGGTCCTGATTTCCCTGGTGGGGCTCCTGGCGCTGCTCCTGTGCAGCACCTCTGAAGGTGAGTCAGCTCGGGTGTCTGGCCCTGGGAAGTGGTTCTGGGTGGTCTGCAGTGTGCCTGCCGTGCTGGGGGGTGTGTGCTCGCATCAGGATGAGGGAGAGGTGGAAGGGAATTATTTCAGCACAGTATGCTGCCTAATCCTCCTCTCCTTGAGCAGGCTAGTCAGGGGGCTGAGCAGCGAGTACCCTGGGCAGCATGGCAGGGAGGTCCAAGTGGGTTTTATTTACCTTGTCATTTTCCTTTGTTCCAGCCCAAAGCAACCAGGACTGCTGCCTGTCTTACACCAAAGCGCGCCTGCCTCGCTGGGCCCTGAAGGGTTACACTGAACAGCTCGCCAGTGAAGTCTGCGATATCAATGCCATCATGTAAGTTACTCTTCAGAAGATACTCTGCCTTTTCTGACATGAATGAACCTTAAGATATCTGTTTGGGCAGAAGCAATGTTTTGAACACTCTAAGCGTAATTATTTTTTTTTTTCCTTTTCAAAATGTTAAATTAAGTGAATAAGTTGTATATAATACCTGTAAACAAAATACACCACCTCTAGTTGATAGGGAATATTAACTCATAGGAGAGACATACAATGTAAACAGTAAATATGACTGTTTAGGAATCAGCTGTGCAAAGACTTGCTTCGTCTCCAGCTGAGGGCCACTCTAACCAACACAAGGCCTTCTCTGCCCAAAACCTGTTAACAGATACATAAGTGGCAGGAGTTTTCTTAATTCATAGAGATTGGACCTTATTTTTCACAAGGCTTTAGCCCTCTTAAATGTAGATCTGTCACTGAGCTGGACAACAACTATTCTTAGTCTCTCAAATTATTTCTGGCATCCAGCAAAGTTCTTCGTCTCAGTAGTTCCAATAAATTGAATGCAACTTTATGGTGCATTAAATGACCCCTGAGACTGAAGAAGCTGTTACGTTTTAATTTCATTAGGTATCTTTGTTCACCCCATGCTTAACTGGCATTTACAAAAGCAGTTGCTATTGTTTATTATATAGAATAACTATAATGCATGTTTTTGACCAAATGCATCTTCGTAGTATTTATTAGAGGGGATTTCTAATGATTTACTGATCTCTTTATCATTATATTCCAGTTTCCACACCCGCAACGGACTGAAAGCCTGTGTGAATCCTAAGGAAGGCTGGGTGAAGAAGCATCTTCTTTTCCTGAGGTAGGGATTTAGAAATCTAAATACTACTAGGCTGATGAAAACAGAGCATGTATGAAAGCCTGTTTCTTAGATCCCCTGAATGCCACTTGTGATGAACACATTTGTCTTTCCATCTCCTGTCAGAGATGGCTGCTCCTTTTTAGCATCTTCCAGGGACAGTCATGTCACATGTTCCTTTTTTTATCTGAGCTGCTCTTTCGGGGGGTGCTACATCTTGGAGAGAGAAACTTATAATTGACCTATGGCTGAGGTCATTATTTATGTGTGTTCTCTTATTCTTTTGACAGCCGTAAGCTCAAGCAGATGTCAGAGTGATATGGTTTCCAGCAGGGAACTAAACACAGATGTGGCTGAAGAACCACCGGGTTCAACCTCTTGGTTGAGATCATCGTCTTGTACACTGTTGTGTGCTTACTCACCACTATCTCTGGCTTCTTTGGAACCGTGGAACTTCTGGAGTTGATTCATATTGCATCACTGTTTTGCTTGAATTAAGCATTTTGTTAAAATTCCTATTTGTACTAATATTCGTATGTTACTAATATGGCATGAGTACTGTTTAGTAAGGACTACCTTAAGCTGCTGTACAGTGTATTAATTTTATTAAGTTTATTGCATGTTATTTTTGTTTTGTTCAGCATGTGTATAGCGGGTTATTTATATTGCTTATTTTGTTACTTCTTTGGCATGTCTTGTGCCAAAATGTTTCCTTTTAACTGTAGTTAGCAGTGTAATACTTCTTGACCTACTGTTAAACAAAGCCTGCTTTGTAAAAAAAATGGAAATTGGAGTTTTAAAAAAATAAATATTAAAATCTGCTTTATCTGTGTGATATATTTATTTTTTTAGTTGAAAAAGGTGAATTCTCCTTGAAACAAATTGCTTTGCCTATAAGCCTCCAGCTGAAACAATTACACAAGTGTATTCGCGTGGCCTGTTTAAAGCCACTTTCCACCTTGCTTGCTTTGTTTGCCCTATCGGTAGCTATGAACTCCATATGATATAATTTCTTTGCCTCCCCCAGACTGCAGCTATCTATGAAGCTTTTGCTTAGCATGAAGACCTGTGCTTTGCCCAATTTCACCTTAATCAGACTTGGTGGAATTTCTCTTACCAGTTTCTCGATTTGTTCAGGAGAAACCTTACACATACTCTTACAGGGCAAGCTTCTAGCTCATCCTCTGAGAAGGATTATGATAATGGTAATGGTTTGCCCTCAACTTAAAAGTCTATCTCTAGAGGAGAAATCTGCAGTGCTTTTTTCCCCTTTATGTGTTTCCTATAGTATCTGATAATTTCTAGCATAATGAGACTGTCCTGAAGCAGGATCTGTTGATGGAGGTCTGCATACACTACTGCAGTTCAAATGATGCCGGATAAAAGCAATGGGACTTCATGGAGTAGGTAGAACATGGGTGCAGACTGAATGGGGAAGGCTGCTCAGATTTTTAGGTTACTATTACATGGCCCACACGGACTTCAGGGATGTGACCGAGTAGTCTGTGTAGGTGTAGTCCTCTCGTTGTCAGCAGATAAATCTATGCCTTGATTTTTGGTACCTTTTAGACATAGAGATAAAAGCATTATTTTTAATATATATTAAATGTGAAGCAATTTTGGTGTTCTTGAGAAAGGAGCTGAGAGGTGTTGGGTTTTCTAAATGGTGTTCATGAGTGTAAGGCTGTTACCTTCTGGTTTCAAAACTTGCTAGAACTTAAGCAATCTCCTTGTGGCTGTGCAAATCTGGGAATTGGCAATTCTCTGTGGGTGAGGCTCTGAAGAAGCAGGATTATTTGGCTTTAATTTCCAGCAGGTGGATTCCATGTACCTGATATTAAAGGATACCATGTAAGAAGTTATTGGCCTCCTAGGGAGGAGCATTCCCCTGGGGATTCCCATAGCTTCTGGGCCGAACTTCAGAGCTCTGCCTCACACCTGCCAGCACTGGTCTGAGCTCCTGTTTGGGACTGAAGAGCTCACAGGCTTAAATCGGGCACCAACAAAATGGTGTGGACACAATGAATGGATTCATGTCAAAGGCATCAGAAGGTGAGGTACCCCAAGCCTGCTCTGGGAATACATAGACATTGGTGGAGATGTTAGGAACCAGAGCCGTGTATGAACTTGGTGCAGAAAAGCCTAAAGTCCAAGCTAGCAAATTCAAAGCAAGTGAGCAAAACAAGAAAGTGAAGATTGATGTGAGGTTCTGTTGGTGGCTCTGCGCTCCCAGGCTGGGTCTGTCACAAGTTTTGTATTGCTTCTGCAACTCGTGCTTCCTCTTGTCAGCCGTGGCTCCATCGCCACAAAAAATCAGATGGTTTATCCACAGAGCGGGATTATTTTTTACTTCCTCTTGTTGTGGTTGAATTTCTTTTTTTATAACAACCTCCATTGGAAGAAAAAAAACTATAATTTGAAAATTTTTTCTATGCTCAATAGCATAGATTGACAAGGTTGTTATGTTACTGGTAGGAAATTCCATGTAAAAATGGCATGTCCCTCCACACATTCCTGGGGATACAAGCAGGTAACATAGGCAAGTGCTGCCTCTCCAGAATAACCAGACTTGAGGCCCATTTTTGTGAGTAGGTAACTTTAAGAGGCTAGTGAAAAGTTCTGACAGCTCTGAAAATCATGACCATTTCTAGGATAAGCTTAATCCTGATTACTTTGGTGAGACTGTTCAGCATTTGTGTAGGTTTCTTTTTCCTCTATACCTTTGGCCCTCAGCTCCTAATTCAGCATGTGCAATTTTGAGTAATTTAACGTGCAGTATTAGATGGTCATTTGAGGACTTTCTCCGTCTCTTAATATATTTTTTTTTAAAAAGAAAATATATTATTTTTTCTTGCAAAAATGCCAATGAGGCTTTTTTTAAAATTATTTAATTTATTTTGGATGTTGTTTGAGTAACAGGTGTGAGAACTTTCCCTTCAAAGTCTCAGCACAACTTCATACTTCAGTTCCAAAGTCTCCTGCTCTTGCTGTATTGAGACTAGTCCTCAGTGATTCCTGTGCCTGCTGGAGTATTATTACTGAACTCTATTTCTGCATATTATTTCTGGGGGTTTTTTTGTTCGTTTTGTTGTGTTTGTTGTTGGTTTTTTTTACTTCAGTTTTTATTCCTTTCCCCTTCCCCCTACTAAAGCAATCTCGCACCATTCCCAGTCAGGACATTGTAGCATTTCATTAGTTTGGCGTCTGTCAGAAACCTTTCTCTTCCTTTATGGAATCATACTTAATTAGCACATTTCTTAATCTTTTTTTTCTTCTCCCACTCCAGCACAAAGCAACCCTGATTGCTGCCTTCCTTACACAAAGTGCCTTGTTAGGGCTCTCACGGGTTACATGGAGCTGCTGTCAGTAGAAGCCTGTGGAAAAAAAGTGCGACTGTGTAAGTTACCAGTTTAAAGAAATTCAGTAGTATGACCAATGTTGTTTACTAATGCCTGATGTATGGATCTGGATCTGTTCCTGTTCTGGATTTGGATCTGTTCGTTACTAGTGGGAAAATGTGTTTAAATACTATACTTTCTGATATCTGCGTAACAGTCCTATGCAATTATATCTATAGCAAAAGGTATACAATGAGGAATGGCTCTTAGTATGCATTTTTATCTGCCACTATACATTATGTTTAAAAATCAGTAGGTGTTAATGAAAGGTAGGAGAGATAATAAATAACTTAGCATTGCATGGACAGTGATTTTTGTACAGAATAGCAAACCTTCTGCTGATTTAATTTTGCTGTTAAAATAAAAAACCTGCCACACCTCAACTGCTGGGCAAGTACTAACAATTTATTTGTTGAATTACTGTTCAGTTGATGGTAGCTCCTAACTATCAGTTGAAGATGGTTTTTTGTTCCTCAGCTCTTGTTTTTTTCACCTTCCACAGAAAGGGGGGTTGTAAAGCATGTGCAAATCCAAGAGATAAAAGGGCAAAACCCCTTCTTATCCCACAGTATGTGTGTTTTCAAATATACCCAAAACCCAAGCATTACTGGGAACACTTTTAGGTCTTTCATATGGGTGTTGATAATTGGTCAGCTATTTTCAATTGCCAACATCAACGAGCCCACATGTACCCAAACCCCACTCCTGATGAACTGGAATGTGTCGTTCAGCTGTAATTTTGTTGAGAAGTGAATGGGGAATTTGTAAACCAAGAAGGGCTTTAGGCTTATGACACTGTCACTTGATTAAGTCTTCTGTGTGCTGAGCTCAGCTGTGTTATGCCCTGGCAGTCTTAGTGCAAACACCAGGCTACAGGCAACACCCTTTGCCAAAATATGAATCATAAAAGGTTTTAGTCTTCCGACTAAACCCAGTGCATTGTGCGTGCTATGCTTACTAAGAAATTACAGTTGTATCACTGTATATAAATGGGAAATTATGATCAGTGTTCCTATCATCTTGTGGTTGCTCTGCTCTGGGAGGTGTCAGTCTTAGCTGTCCAGTGCTGCAGTCTGAACTCTCTTAAAGGTTTTGTAATTGCTGTTTGTTCCTTCTGCACTATCTATTGCAGACAGCTTCCAGTCAAAGCTCACCAAGAGTTGCTGGCATTAGAACACTTAAATACAATATACAATTGATATGGTGCTGTGGCTGCTGTTATGTATTAAGCATAATGTATTGCTCATGTAGCTGTTACTGTAAATAAAACCAGGTGCTTATTTAATAGTCTTTTAGCTTCCCTGAATTTATAGCATTATTCAAAGACTATGGAATCACAAATACATAATTAATGCTTAAAAAGCTCATATGTCACAGAAAAAGTAGAGGCTATAATACTACTGTTAATTGTTATTGTTTACAACAGCATTTCTATAGTTTCGCTTATATGACTTCAGTTATACCCCCAAAATAGAGTAAAAATTTTATGTGTATGCATCTGCTTCTACATTCCTGTAGTCCTGAAATTTTACTACCTCCTGACTTTAAATTGAAAACTCTATTAATTTTTTTTACACTCTTTTTGTATCAAGGAGACAATAAATAGCCTGTGTTGAGATCCCCTGAAAAACTAGATATGCTCTATATAGTGTCTATATGCAGAATTGTGCTGGATACACTTAGAATGCATGTCCTGTATTACAGGGATTTTATCTACCATCACAGCCACAGCTACACAAACAAATGAGAGGAAAAGGATTGCACAGCGCAGATTTTCCTAGGCTAACAGTGCCAGCAAAGGCATATGAAAATCCAAGGAGAAAGAGCCACCTGACTCTCGGAAGAGATGACTGATGTAAGAGGGAGACAACTTTGTATGGTTATCTATTCTGATTCTGTGGATAGAAATCGCTACCTCAGGTTCCATTAAATTTGGTTCCTTCCCAATTCTTATTATTGGGATGTGTCCAAGGAACATGTGGAATGCAATCACTAAGGTTTATTAAATACGTCATTAATTCCTAAAGGTATTAATTTACAAACCTAATCTCTTGGTTAAATCTGTTTGTATGACCTTTGGATCCAATGCATTCCAGTGTAGTAGGTTTCCACAATGCTCCACCTCCTGGGGTATTTTGATTTACCTAAAAATCTAAGCTTCACAGTGATTTTTTTCCTCTAGCCCTCAAAGTTACAGAGTAAGCCTTGGAAAATAAAAGATGAAGAATAACATCTCAACAGCTTTTCACATCTAAGCTAGTCGTGTGATGTTTTGATATCTAACTCATGTTTTTGAGTAGCAGCTGCAGTAGTGAAATTTAAAGAAAGGTTATTGTCATGTTTCTTGCAGTGAACATTACCTACAGTTATCAGAAATTAT